CTAAACCCTACGAACCCTAAACCCCAAATCCTAAACCCTAAACCCTAACAGCAACGGCTTCTTCTTCATCCTTTTCAGGTGACCACTGTGAAGCAGAGCTGCTACGATGTAGATGTGTGCTACAACTGCAACTGCTGCGGTCCCTTACTTGCATTGACAGGTAGGGTTTAGGGTTTAGGGGTTAAAGGAAGTTCTAGGGATCATATAGCGATTATATATAGGGACTATATAGGGACTAGGGATTAGGATTTAGGGTATTACAACAATACTGGGGACTATTTTGGGGTTATATAGGGATGTATAGGGTTAAGGGATTAGGGTTTAGGGATATCATAACAATAATGGAAAATGAGATGGAAAAGCCAATGGAGAATGAAATGGAAACTGTGTGTTTATCAAGATAGAGAGTCCAGGCTTTAGAGTTTGAAGGCTGTCTGTCGCTGGGGAATCACTGAATGGAAAAGAAATTTCAAACCGGCATATTGTAGTAGTGGATGACCTGTGAGATCCAGCATTCCTCCTCTCACTGGAAACGACCTGCAAGCATTGGGCCTTTAACGCTGTTGCCATGTGAAATATTCTTCAGTCTCTTACTGGTGTTGTGGAGGTCCCGTGCACTGAGCGCATACATTACTAAGCTGGAATATGCGCAAGCCAGCATGACGGATACTTCTCCCAAAGTACAGGATTTCTTGTGAGAAGGACCCCAAGAGGACCCATGATTTTGCATATACTTGTCTGGATGAGCCTGGACAATCAGGAAAAACAGCAACCCAAAACCATTGGGACCCTAGTATAGTCACATTGAACTATAGTCTAAATGGGTTTGGGGTTTAGGGTTCAGGGAGGATATATATATATAGGGGGTTCAATAGGGGAGTATTGAAGGGTTACTAAAGGTGATACTAGGAGCTACTCTATCTCTCACACGATAGCTGCAGGGTCCTGATTTGGGGGCGTTGGGGTTACCCAAAATCCTTTTCATACAGGCTGAGATATGCTCAAAGTGTTGCTTGCTGCCTTTTGCTGCTCTACACCCTAAACGTAAATCCAAGGCAGAATCAGTGGAGACATGACGGATGCCAAGAAGTGTCGAGACTGAAGAATGATATTGTTGATACTAATCCTCTAAGATTTAGGGTTTCGATTTTAGGGTTCATGCAGGAATTTTGCTTTAAGCATAGTAGTTTCATCCCCCCCAAGGTTAAACAACTACCTAACCAGCTCACATTACATATGTCCCCTAATAAATAGGGCCCTCGATAGGTAATCTTTGATGCCAGGGACAGGGGGGGGGAATGATTACTAGCAGCCGTAGAAGAATCAAAACGAAATTTACGAAATTGCATAGTCGTAGCGTAGCGCCCTTGTAGTTTACAGCGTACTACTCCAAGTCATGCACATCAGGACGAACAGTACAGCATAGTGATTTCAAGTTTCCAGCATACTAAACACGGCATCAAACCCCCTCCCCAATATTGAATATGCGCATTGTTGCTTTCTATGAGATATGCGGAGTATTTGATGGGAGGGGATTAGAGCGTAGCACTTCCTAGAACCAATCTGGATATCATCACTGTTCGGTCACGTCTCAGAGGTAGTAAGGCAGCGGAGGTTTGTGAGGAAAAGCTTGGGAACGTGTGTGTGGTATGTATGTATATGTATATATACGCTACACATTTGTGTCGGGATTAAGGTTGAATTTGTCAATTCAGCGCAGCAAAAGGAGACCGGCTCACACGTTCGATGCGCGGACCGCAGTCATGAGAGATCGGGAGTAACAACTCCAGCATCACACACTCTGTGCCGTGGAAGGCAGAAGCTTTGCAAATGGCAGTTCATCTTCTTGAGCCGAACAGTGGATGAGGCCTGCATGCTAACGGAAGTTTAAACACGGCTGGCTGCAAAGTTGGCGCATGTTGCTTCTGCAGGTGTGCACCAATCTTGCTGATTGCCAGGAGCCAAGTTTCCAGGCGTCATCTCTGGCAAGCTGTCAGCCCTTGCCCTTAAACCCAGAGTTCCGCAGCCGCTGAGGCAATCTAGCCGAAGGAGCCACTTGCAGTGCAGATAAAGATGGCACAACCTGCATGGTTGAGATTGCTGCTGTCGCGAGCCTTGCAAGCTTCCACAGGCTCTCTGCATGCCCATGAATCACCAACCGTTCCCTTCATGGCAAGACGGACGAGCATGCAAACAATCATATACTATAATATCGCCCCCCCCAATATTACACCAATATTACCCCAACGCACAGAACCTGGTTTCCTTTGAACACTGTTCGGAAGCCCTCTGCAGAGCGGGATGCAGCACGCTGCATCCCCACAACCAGCATCAACCAGCCAGGCAATGCTGTCTCAACCTGCACGGACCCATATCCTGCATGCGGGATGCTCAGTATTCATTCAAGCTTCTAGGGACCTTGGGGATGTTTGGGTTTAGGGTTTTGGGGGACGACAGTGCATTGCTGCTCGGAGGCTCGCGGTGACTGTAGCTTTGCGCGAGATGTTGCTGCAGCGACAGCACCAGTGGATGAGCCAGAGCAATCCCCCAAAAAACTCATCTATCCTAATCCCGATGCATTCCTATACACCCTAAACCCTAAACCTTTATATGTCCGCTATTCATATGTCCCCTTAGACCCTAGCGCTTGAGCAGCTTGACTGCTCGACCCCCAGGCGGTCCTTTGGTTCATCTGTGCTGGCTCGTTTGCAACTAGGGGGTTTAGGGTTTAGTGGCAATGGAGAATCAGACGGAAAAGGAGATGGAAACTGAAATGGGAACTGGGAGTATATACCGGTTTGTCTCCAAGGCTGTGCTCTCAAGAGATGGTCGTTACCATATATGAGGAACCCCCACATAGACCCCAAATTACCACAATCCCCATGATAAGGCTTCCTTAGAAGTGTTCCCAGAGGTTTGGACATCCCAAAATCAGATCCCCTCGCCCCGTTTGAGGTAGCTTTGTTCCAGCAACTGGCACTCGCTGAAGTACCTTGGCTGCGAGGTATCAGCTTCTACCATCTACCCCGCATCCGTGACAGTTGAAGCATGCGCACTACCCATTTAATGAGTTACCTCTGTCGGGGCTGCTGCAGGGCAATGTGGACCACTGACTCTCACTGTGGCTTTGAATGTTTTGACACGAGCAGATGGGGTTATTGACGGAGTTGCTTGTAGCAGGCTATGACTATGACATTCAACATCGTCAGAGCTAAAACGCTTGGAAGCTGTTCGCACGCTCCTTCTATGGGTTGTCAAGCAGAGCCGTAAAAAACACCTAGCCGGTGGTTAGTAGGAAATGGAGGAATGCATCTCCAGACTAGTCCAACTCCAGATCGCGTTTAGGCTTCTTGGGTTTTGGTTGGCTCGATATCAACAACTTAACTTGAGAATTGGTCATCGACTAGTTTAATAGGGGGGTCTTTCAATCAAAGGTAGCATAGAAGTAGCTAGAGGCAGCTCCGACACTTTCCCAGAGCTGAGAAATCAGAGGATACCTTGGGTTATTCCCCGTTACAGAAACTGTCTTTAGGGGTCCTAGTAAGGGGCTAATACAACTCCCTCCTGTTACCCACTGTGATGACTGCTATACCTGTTACTGTAACTAAGAGGGAATGAGCTAAAGGATACCCACTAAAGATGCCTCTTCTTCACGCAGCTCCATTTAAGCTGACATGTGTCCCAGGCAGTGATGCACGTTCGGAAGCAGCCAGCGATGAGAGGCTGTTAGCCTCGTGCAACCGTTAATGCAAAAGTAGCAGCCACCATGCGGGCATGTGCCCTGCAGAAGCACGGCCTGAAATTCAGCAGCTCTAAAGTGCTAGGGCACCGCAGCTGCTGTGTCAGTTAGTGTAGTCTAGCGTTACGGCCCACAGTTGCGGCTCTGGGGCCGGGAGATTCAAGTAGTTCGAAGTGACAGCTAAGGCCTGAACCCTCACTCCGCAACTGTGTGGCTGTAGATCCTGCTAGGATGGCATCACCACACAGGACCGCAACCAGCACCTTACGTGCTACACAGGTACAGCCCCCCTTACGTAGATAGAATAATTATGGGGTATATGGGGATCTTGTTATGGGCTTGGGAAAAGCCATATTCTACAGATCTACTTCAGAGGGACTATGGTTCTCAAGACGTTGCTCCTATCTTTCATGGCCGAATGAGCACTCAGTACATTGCAATCTCTGACACTTGTAATGCAGACGTCCCATGCCATCAAAGCCAGGATGCGCTCCGCTTCTGTGTTTGGCCTTCTGGTTGTGCAATGGTCCAATGGCAGAAGGCTTGCAGATGCAAAGCACCACTTAGCCCCGACTCGGCGGTCAATCTTCTCAGAAACGGGTTGTTGCACATGTCTGATGTAGGGTATGCTACAGAAATTGGGGTCTCTCCGTATGGGCTCAAGCAGCTTCTTTATTCCCTAATCACTGTAGTGACCCCAGATTCAAGGTCTGTTCCGTAATTAGAGAGTATTGGGCTCGTTGGATACCTTACAGTACCGCTAAGCCCGATAAGCCCCATAATGAAAGCCTAGAAAGATACACACTCTGTCAAAGACCCTAGAGAACAATGGAAAACCCTAAACCCCAAACCC